GAGTTCACGAGCAGAAAACAGGCTTCATGTTTGTGGTTTATGTCCTCTGATTTACTTCAGAGTATCAGTGACTTTAGCAGCACGCTGGGCTCTTCTGTGTAGACAGTTTTTACTGGATGTACAGGAGACGTTTGAGCTGTTTACAGAAACACAAGAAAGAACATTTTTGAGGTTAGAGCTGCAAAATAAATACATACATTAAAACTCGCATGTTTTTCATTTTCATATTTATCAGGTTTGATGTGTTTTCTCTTCCAGAAACAGGAACAGTTTTCTTTTTATTGTGGTAACAGAAAAATGATTATAATAATTCTTATTATTATGACTGAAGATTACAGCTGCAAATGTTACGTGCAGTACAAAGTTGTTAAATATACAGTATATTTAACAATATTAAAAAAGTGACACATTTGGTCACATTATTCAAACCCAAAAATGTTGAATGATTTTACTCAGATCTGCAGAATTCATTGAAATTATTTAAATTTCTCCAGAAAAGTCCTCCATACACTCTGCACAACATTGTGTTTTTTAGCAGTTGATTGGTTTGATTTGTTGCTAAGCAGCAGGGTTTCCCCAATATTTCACATAATGGTTAAAAATGGTGCCAGTTATTTGTGTTGACACTTTTTGTCCCCCATACGTGAGTACGGCTCAGTTTTCCGTAGATTGTAAATCAACAAAGAAATAAACACTTCAGGATTTTATCTGTTTTTTGTCTGTGTTTGTTGTGTTAGAGCTCAGTTTGTCCTCTTTTACAAACCAGTGTTACAGGATTAGTTTGAAGTCAGTAAATTACTGACGTGTCTTCAGACGAATGTTAAACTCAGAGTGCACTGACTGTGACTAAAATGTGACTTTAATGTCCGCCAGTCAAACCGCTCACCAAGCCGAGCCGGCCCGCCCACATCTGCGCCACCTGCAACAAGGAGTTCAAGAACAGCTACAACCTGCGGCGGCACCAGTCGGTGCACACGGGCATCAAGATGAAGGACCGGGCGGCCCGGGAGAAGGAGGACGGAGCGAAGGCCGGCCGGGTGGAGAAGCAGACGGTCCCGCTCTCCCTCCTCCACCTCGCCCTGCCCCCGCAGCAGCCTCCTCCCCCTCCCGCGGCTCCCGGCCAAGAGACCCTCCCCCAGCCCGGCCAGCACGTCAACCAGGAGGGCCAGCCGGTGTCTGTGTCCATCGCCCCGGCAACAGTAACCATGGCTGCGCCGCCTCAGCCCATCCAGGCAGCCGTTGTTGTCGTTGGGTCCATGGAGCAGGTGGGTTCACCGGGAAGAGAGCCAGAGAGTAAGGCCAAGATTAAAGGACCATTCAGGGCCTTTTGATGCCAGCGGCAGCTGCAGGAAGTGTCCAGAAACATGGCCGCTGACATTCACGGTTATAAACACACAATTTGAATTAAATCTTTGTGGATCAAAACATCAGAAAACCTCAGACGAGCATCATAATCAGCTAGTGTTGATGCCGGGAGCAGAGAGAGGCCCTCTGACAGCAGGAAAAGACTTCAGAGTGTATTTACGACTGAACTTCTCTGCCTCTTCCCGCAGAATCCCAATCCTAATCCCATTCCCAGCACCAATCAGGTGAGGAAGAACCACGCCTGCGAGGCCTGTGGAAAGGCCTTCAGGGACGTCTACCACCTCAACCGCCACCGGCTGTCCCACTCGGACGAGAAGCCGTACTCCTGCCCCATCTGCCAGCAGCGCTTCAAGAGGAAAGACAGGATGAGCTACCATGTGCGCTCGCACCAGGGCGGCGTGGAGAAGCCGTACATCTGCCCGCACTGCGCCAAGGCCTTTTCTCGGTACGAGCGCCATCCGCTCCTCGGGCAGCGTTAACTCCTCACGGAGAGCTCGTTTATGTAACCGCTCACATTTAGCAGTTGCAACACCATGACAGATGTAGATGTGACTGTTTTGTGGTTATTTAGGACTCTATGTCCTCATGAGCTTCTGATCTTAGCCTCTGATTTCAAGTCTCATTGAACACAAACTGATGAGAACAGGAAAACAAAGACGAGTTGTTTGAGTCCCCCCGTTTCAGTCCTAACATCCGAAAGAGAAAATGTGAACAGCTCGACTTCATTTGCTCACAGCTGCCTCGTCCCTCTTCTATATACAGTTTATGCTACTTCACGACTTTAGTGCCTGAACCTGTGAAGTCATCAGGAAGCTGTTCACTCAGCTCGTCCAAGTGAACTGAAGCAGTGTCCCCACACACCACAGCTCATAAGTTACAACCATTTCATAACCAGACTTTATACAGCCAGACTTCCTGTAGCAAACACACACTGTAAATAAAAGATGGCTGCAACCACCATGATGTCATCCGTCAGTTTCTTTACTCTGGATTTTAGCTTTGTAGTTGCCGTCATGTTGGTTGTTTGTAGCCAGCACACAGACACCTGCCGATTAGTAACATCCAATCGGAATCCCAGAATCTCACCTAAGCTGGAGCTCAGAGAGCGGCCATATGATTGGTCAGATGATGTCATTAAAAAAGCTCCATTGGCACAAACACGGTCCAGTTCAGGTGAAGCCTAGCACACAGTTAGCAGCTACAGCCGCCTGTCAGTCAAAGAGGCCACGCCCCTAATATTGATTTAAACCTTAATACAATTTAAACAGTTAGTAAAAAACATGAATCTCATTCTTGTTTGCATTTTCAGGCCGGACCACCTCAACAGTCACGTGCGACAGGTGCACTCCACAGAGAGGCCGTTCAAGTGCACGGTAACACCCTCACCTGTTTACCTGTTTCTAAACCAGCACCGCCAGTCCTGCATTCAGAAAACCACAACATCAAAATTTCAATAAAAAGCATCAAATTTTACATTTAGAATATTTCGTCCTCTTAAGTGTTTTGATAAGCAACTACGCCTTATTTTGAAAATTTCATTCGTTTCATCCACGCCTTCCTGTTTTCTGCAGACGTGCACGTCAGCGTTTGCCACACGGGATCGCCTCCGTGCTCACCTGATTCGCCACGAGGAGAAGGTGCCGTGTCACATCTGCGGGAAGCTGCTGTCGGCCGCTTACATCACAGACCACATGCGGGTCCACAACCAATCACAGCACCACGCCTGCCACCTCTGCAACCGCAGTAAGACACGGCTGCGTCACGAGAAAGCACCACCGACAGTCCGCCGTCACCCCGCCTTCACGTGTCTGTGTGCTCTTGTCCCGCAGGCTTCACCACCCTCACCTACCTGCGCGTCCACGCCCAGAAGCACCACGGCCAGGAGTGGAAGGAGAGCGGCGGGGCGCGGGGGGCTTTCGGCGGGACCGGGGCCGGCGGCGTGCTGCTCTGCCAGCTGTGCGGGGTACAGTGCAAGACGGCCACGCAGCTCCAGGGTCACATGGGCACCCACGCCAACCAGGGCGACCCCACCCCCGACCAGACGAGCACGGGGCCCGTGGGCACCACCAGCGTGGCGGTCACGGTGTCCAGCGCTAGCACAGTGGGACTGCTGGTCACTGACTGCTCCAGTATCGCCCCCCAGCCCCACAGCTAGCACGCTGGGGGGGCGAGTGGGGGCAGGGGAGAGCTGGGGTGGGACTGCAGGGAAGGGGATCAGGGGCGGAGGTGGGGTGGAGTCGAGGGGGGAGTCGCAGGAGTCGAGGCAAAAGGAAGCAAGGACACGTAGGAGGAGCCACCGGAGCAGGTGTGTGGATCCATTCTGCTCATTAATGGCGCCATGTTTGTAGTCCTGGACTCTGCTGCAGCGGCTTTGCACCTTTTTTTATGAAATGAGGTGAGCATTGATTTTTCTGTCTCAGGTTGTTTCCTGCCACATCTGGATGGAGAGTGCCACGACTTCTCCGTGGCTCTGTGAGGACGGCGACCTCGGTTTGTTCCCGCGACGCCCACCTCTGTCAGCTGACCGGCCTCCAGCACTGGGAGGCGCTCTCTGCGTTCACACTACCGACTCTGGAGTCCTGCACAGAGGACCCATCAGTTATTAACTAATGTGTGTTTTTATTCTCCTGGCTTGGCGCTTAGCTGTTATCATCACTTCATTGTTTTCATTTTCAGCCGCTCTTGATTTTTGTAAAGCCGCCGTCGCCATTTTTACACCATTTCTGATCCATGATATCCGTGTTTAACACCAGGAAACTGGCCCAGAGACCTCAGTGACACCATTTATCTCATTTTCTCTTCTAATTTATTGCCGAGCGGTGTCCGGTTTGCCTTTGAGCGGGGAGCGGGTGTTTCTGACGGCCCACGCTGTACATACACACTTTTATAAAGCAGATAACGGCAGACCGATAGTTGTTTGTGGATATTCCCCCTGAACACTGAATGTGCATAACTTCTCTGCTTCGTATGATCTTCGTTCTTACTCTGGATGCTGATTTGTAACTCTTGAACTTGCCATGTAATTTGTAGCTACCTTGGTGACACATTTTCTGTGGCTGTGCATATTGATTGTACTTGATGCATAGTGCATAGCGCCTCGTTACTGTTACTGTATTAAAAGGCAGTAAAACGCACGTGTGGACTCGAGTTCAGGTCATCTTCACAGTGTCTGAGTGGGTGCTGAATGTGGATGTTTCATCTGAAGCACTGAAACAAGTTAAAGGTGTCGGTGAACCGGCTCAGAAAAGCTAACGGCCCGTTAGCTCCGATTTAGCAGCTCGTAATGTTTCTATTCAGTCTGAGCCTCAGACTGAGGTGAGATAGCCCTAACTTATGCTCAGGACTTTTCTTCCTTATATATGAATCCCTTTGTCTGCCGCATCCCCCGTGTTTGCCTTTAATAGAAAGTACTTTCTTTTTTTTTAATATATAAGTATTTGTTAGTCCTCCATATTAAAACAGTCAGAGTAGTTCCTGTAATACTGGGCTCTGTGTAAGGAAAGGCTTCAAAACAAAGTCCATATAAAAAAGAATGAATCAGAGTTAAATTTAAATTAAATCAATATTTAAAAAGTATAAATCAGATGATAAGTATTTTATTTTATGGGGTTTATTTTGCCTGTAAATTTCTATACTTTGTATTTGTTAATTCAGGTTAAAAGACATTTTTGCCACATTTTATAAAATACTACTTCAATTAATTTAAATATACTTTGACGTATTTGAGTTATTTATGTTAAACTGTGGCAGTTTGAGTCCTCCATATAACCCAATGATGACCGATTATCAAGAGTGTTATATAATAATCCAAATACTGGCTGTGTATGAACGGTCAGATCGATACATTGTTTCAGTGCGTAGTTAAATTTTTTGTCATGGAAAAATACATTAAAAATACTACTACTCCACTAAATGGGAAAAAGATCATTTTATAAAATATACATATAAATATAGAATTTGTATTGATGTCTATTTTATTTTACAGACAGCAGATGGTGACTGAGTTCTTTAGAGACGCACATTTACATCGTAGGACTCCAACAAAGTTTTAAAATGAAATATTCTGAAATATCTTCTGTTGTGTTATCTAATTATTATGGAAAGTAAAAACAACAGTGATGTAGTGCTCATTAAAATGTGTTCAGAATTTGCAAACATGATGATGATTCACCTCTCCCCTACATTAGCTGGATGAAAGTATCGGCATTGTTATCGGGGATAGCGGCCGTGTGTTTACGTGGGGTCCTACCGATACCAGAATTTGCACCAATAATGGACGCCAACAATCAGCCCTGTTTATCCATTTTAAACGCCGCTGAACCTGCCTGCTGTGTTCACACCTGTGCAGAACAGGGCTGCATGCTGATTGGCTGTTACCATGTGGCGCACCTGTGTCAGGAAGCACCTGCATTTATCCTCGTTTATTCTGGGTTTTCTTTTCCTTTAATTTGTCACCCAGTGCTTACAGCAGAGTGGGAAAAAACAGAAAATCATCCACCCTCCCCATCCGGCTTCACCTGCTCCTCCTACAGGCTAGCCGGGCTAAGCTGTCGTTGTAGTCCGGAGCCGAAGCCCTGCTGGGTCGAAGCCCCGCTCGGAACCTGCCGCTGGATGAACCTCCACCCGGAAAAGAGGAGAAACCGCCTATATGGACGCTTCTTCTCCGCCTGTGACGGCGCCGCGGCCAGCTAGTGAGCAGCCCGCAGCTAGCTGCAGCTAGCGGCTCCGCTGGCTAACCATCCCGGCTAGCTCGAGGATTTAACTCGGCTTTTCTCGCCTTCTTTAAGCCCGTTTCCGTGTCATGCTATCGGCTGCTTAACCGAGTCAGGTTTGTAGGCTCATTTTTGGATCTCGCGGGGGAAAGCTCGCTTTCTTAGTCGATCTAGGTCAGCTCGTCCGGCCGGTGATGGTTATGTGGGTCATCGGGGGGGGGTTAACTGGTTAGCCAGAACAGCTGGTTAGCTGCGGACGCCTGGACGTGTTTTTGTTTTATTGGTTTTAGAAGAAAAATAAGAGTGAATATCGATACGTGTGCTTGAGTGGGTGCTGTGGTCTCTGTGCAGCCGAGCTGGGTGATGGAGCAGCGGGTGGATTATTTTATATTTCTGTTTTTGGACGCTGACTAGTTAGCCGGGGATGCTAGCTGCTCCACTAACCAGGTGAGCGCAGCCTGATACAAACAAAGGTGGCTCGGCTCGGCTGTGTCGGAGGTCCGTTTCGCCGCGGGCCTGGATTTAGCCCGGATTTAACTAGCACACTTCGGCCTGTGAACGTGTTTATGTGTTTCAAGCCACAGCGCGTTGACGTGTGTCTGCCTCCTTCACAGGCTGGGCATGCTTAGCGGGGAGCTGCGGGTCCTCCGAGCCTAGCAGCAGCAGGCAGCGGCAGATAACGCGACCGTGTCCGGGTGGTGCTCCGGGAGGAGGATGGCATTTCACGGCGCAGGCCGGCAGACCGTGTGTGGAGACCTATTTCCGGGCTCTGAGCTGGGCCACAAGTATTTCTGCGTGAGCTCCTCCTGCGGAGCCCCCTCCACGGGCCTCAGCGCCACACCGTGCCTCACCGGACCCACCGCCCCGGCAGGGACCCCTCGTCACCCCACAGCCCTCGGAGGAAGCACCGGCGGCGGCGCGGCGGTGCCTCAGCCCTACAGCAACCCAGCCAGCGAGGTGCCGAGCCCCGCAGAGATGGAGCCAGACCGACCCATCGGTTATGGCGCATTTGGAGTTGTTTGGTAAGAAAACGCTGTGATCGTAATCATGCTTCACATCCCTGCTGTCAGAAAGCTCCCTCTGCTCCGACTTCCATCTTGTTTGTGCAGACTTGAAACTCAGCTCCATCTTTGTTTACATGCGGTCAAACTGTCACCACACAAGATGGCATCACCTCATCGCCATCTGGGTTCATCACCAGCCTCTGATCATTTCTGGTTAAGCTGGTTTGAGTGGTTTTAGACCTTTGATGCTCTGCACAGCTGCAGCCTGAGGCCTTGCCCCCCAGCTGTAACCTGGCCAAGCTGTCCTCAGGGTTGTGTGTTTTGGATAAAGCCTGAACCCGTGTGATTGGTTGTCAGTGGGCCGATAAGTCAACAGGTCGTGTAGAACATGTTAGAAAATGTGTGTTTGCTGTTATGTAAGCCGGGCTGGATTCACGACAGGTAAACGTCACGGTTGCTTCCCAGCTGGTATAGGAGCTGGAGTTTGGAGAGTAAAACTGTCTGTCTGTGAGAACTGCACATCATTACTGTAAACCAAACCACGGCCGCCTGAGGCTCCACCCAAACTACAACAGCATCATCTTCACTGCTGCTTGGAGGGGGGGAGGGGGGGTCTGTGACAGGCTGCTAATTCAGGCTCAGTGAAACAAGATTTATTCAAAGGTCAAAGGAGCTGATGCTGCTCTTCGTCTTGTCTTCCACACTCTGTTCAGTTTACTTTAATAATCACATCGGAGGTTTAAAGACCTCATACAGGGATTCATTTTAATGTAACTGACCAATCAGAGCTCCCCCTCACTGAGTGTTTTTTATAAATGTCTGTTTTCCAGGTGAAGCCGTGTGCAGACGAGCAGCTTCCCTCGTCTTTAGATTAGCGCCGTCCACCAGAGACGCTGCAGCCCAAAGAGGGGCCAGCACATTTACTGTGAAGCTTTAATTCTGCTTCCTGTGTACGTTCATGAGTCGTGTTGGTTAAACAGTCATAGTAAAAATGTTTGGCCCTGATCTTCTGGTACCGTGGGCGTGCACGTATGTGGTTTGGCATCAACATATGAGGAATACACGGCTCATTTGCAGTTGCATCCATATGAACGTGGCCTCTGCTTCACAGTGAGGCTGATGTAGGTGTGTGACGTGAGCCCCACACTTGGGTAACTGCACCTGTCCTCCAGCAGCACCGTCTCGTCTCTTAGATGCAGCGTTTTCAGCCCAAACTTAAAGGATTAACCCGCCATTATTAAAACATGGCCTGAGGCCTGCTTTGTGTCGAGCACTAGAGTCGCTGCGCTGAACCTGTGACTCACTGTAACTTTATTCACTTTGAGCAGCAGTTAGCTGTTGTGTGTCTGCAGACCGAACGACCCTAAACCGTGTCGTCAGACTGTCTTCTAGCTGTGACAGGAAGCGTGCGCCTCGTTTCCTCACAGGTCGGTGACCGATCCTCGGGACGGCCGGAAGGTGGCTTTGAAGAAGATGCCCAACGTCTTCCAGAACCTGGTCTCCTGCAAGAGGGTCTTCAGAGAGCTGCGGATGCTGTGCTTCTTCAAACACGACAATGTAACGACCTGCGGGCGCTTTTATTTTGAAGAGGCTCTTATTTGGATGTAGACGCTGAGCTGATGCAGTTTTTCTCTCTCCGTGCAGGTTCTGTCGGCTCTGGACATTCTGCAGCCTCCGCAGATCGACTGCTTCGAGGAGATGTATCCTTCAGTCCTTCTGTCCCAGTTTCTCCTCATTAGTTCTCCCTCACGTCCTCCTTTAACTCGCTTAATTTAGCCGCCGGTGTCCGGTCTAAATCCAGCTCCTCGCAGATGTGAAGCACGAGGCTGCTGATGAATATTTAATGTGCATCATTTCTAAAAAATGTTACATCGGCACTTTTCGCTGAGCGGCCCCGGCGCTCCCCCGCCTCGGAGGCCGGTGCTGGGCGATGCGTCGTGCTCGTGTAGGCGGAGGTCGGTCCGTGTGTGAGCGTGTGCATTTTATTATTTTTTTCCTTGACTGCTCACCGCCCCGCAGCTACGTGATAACAGAGCTGATGCAGAGCGACCTCCACAAAGTGATCGTGTCTCCTCAGCCGCTCACCACGGACCACATCAAGGTCTTCCTCTACCAGATCCTCCGAGGTGAGCCGGCTCTTTCGCGTCCCGCCGCCGCACGGGCCGAGCGACATGATCGCGTTCAGTACGAGATTTAAATACACCGCCGGCTTCAAACGCACACGTCCATCTTTCTCCTGAAGAGGCAAAGCTGCCGATCATCATCCGCCTCCGAATGTCTCGGCCTATATTTAAACAGTCGTTCAGTCTCGCTGCCTCGCTGTGTTTACTTTCCTGTGACGGTCTCATAAGCTGCAGCGAGCAGCGTGTCCTACTGCAGGCTCCATCTTTCCCTTTAAATCTCAGATTAGTAATGAAATCTAAAACTTCACTGGAGGAAGTGAGTTTCCTGCTGTAGTTCTAGTTGTTCTCGTCACCTGGCCGGGCGGGTCGGTGGCGTGTGATGTCTCGAGATGGAAGGAGAGTGAAAGAAGTCGTCACAGTGATGCTGGTGGTTTAGACCAGCGGTCCCCGGGCCACGGACCAGTCCCGGGCCGCGAGAGTTGAGGCTCGTTTTTATCGTTCACTCGGTTTCTCCGGGTCTTTCCTGCGTTATGAATAAATCTTCTTTTGTTGCCGGTTTGATTTTGTTGTATTTATCTGCGACACCTTAAAGGCCGGCCTGTGAAAATGTTGTTGGGCATAAACCGGACGGCGGGGACCGCTGATTTAAACGTTGTCGTCGCTCACCAGGAGGACGACTTTAACTCTTTCCTCCATGAAGGTGACGACCTCGGCGCACATCGATACAGACGTTTATAAGCGGTGCAGAATCGAGGTTCAGCAGGTGAAGGCTTAAAACTCTGACCTCCTCTCTGTTTCCTGTCCAGGTTTGAAGTACCTGCACTCCGCTGGGATCCTGCACAGAGACATCAAACCCGGAAACCTGCTGGTCAACAGCAACTGCCTGCTCAAGGTAACGCCGCACTCGCCTGTATCAGAGGCCGCGAGGCCTGGTTACCGGGGTTATGAAGGCGGTTCGCTTGTTACCAAGTACATTGCCATGGTAACTTGTGCTGCTCTGCGTTACGGTCGAGATACAAAATCGACACCTGCAAAACCACCGCGGTCAGTGCTGGCGGCTAAAACGTTGGAACGGTTTTCTGATGATCCAGGGGGTGGAGCCTATCACAGCTGTTTAAGCGGGGGTCACAGATCCCCAGTCTGTGGCAGGCGTGGTGCAGAGAGACGCACGGCTCCTGTTCATGAAATCACCAGTTAAAGCTGAAACTGGAGTGGAAAAGGGGCGGGGTTTAGCGACTGGACGAGGGCGTCTGTTTGAGCTTTTTAAGGGCAAAAACGAGGCGCGCTTTATTTAAAACACGATCGTTGTGGCAATAATTAACGCATACAACAGATACTTTTCCGACCTGTAACCAGGTGATGTTTGTTAGGCGCAATGAGACGCCACAGCTCAGAGACGGCGATGCTCTCACAGCGGCGTTTGTAGTTGCACCAAGCAGACGCAGGAGGAGCCGATGAGTCTGAGGAAACCACTCGTTGGGAAGTTACTCAGATTTTCGTGGTGTTGAAACGTCTTTGCTGCGTTTGGGCCTGACGCCGCGCTGTGGGAGGGACAAAAGTTGCCGCCTTTCCAAAACACGAGGAAACCAATCAGCTGCTTGCTCGAGTGACTCGGATAGAGCCGTTGACGTTTTTCCATGTTGCTCAGATTTGTGACTTCGGCCTGGCGCGCGTGGAGGAGCCCGACCCGTCACGTCACATGACGCAGGAGGTGGTGACTCAGTACTACAGGGCGCCGGAGGTGCTGATGGGCTGCCGGCACTACAGCTCGGCCATCGACGTGTGGTCGGTGGGCTGCATCTTCGCCGAGCTGCTGGGCCGACGCATCCTCTTCCAGGCTCAGAGTCCCATTCAGCAGGTGAGACGCCGGGCGCCACGGCAACCGGCAACACATTCATTTAAAAACAAAAAACCTGCAGAGCTGCTGATAACAGGTTCAGTCAGAGTGCAGTCAGGTGACAGGGTTAGCTCCTCCTCCTGTTAGTTCAGAGGTGTGGCTAAGATGATGTTCAGGTATGTATGCGTAACTTTGACCTTTGAACTTTTGATGTACATCCACCTCTCAGCTTTGATTTCAGTTTATATGAACATGTTAAAATGTTTCACCTGTGGACTCGGCTCAGGTAGAATCCGTGTTTGAGTCGTGCCGCGGAAAGTGGGATTAAAGATGGCGGCACGGCTGTTCCAGCTCTGAGGATCCACAAATCCAAACCTTTGTCTGGTTTTCTGTGATGTGAAGCGGTCTGTCTCTGTGTCGCAGCTGGACCTGATCACCGACCTGCTGGGAACGCCGCCTCTGTCGGCCCTGGCAGCGGCCTGCGAGGGCGCCCGGGCCCACATCCTGAGGGGGCCGCACAAACCGGTACGTGACTGCGTGGTGTGCTCGTGAGCTGAGCAGCACGCCGCTCTCTGCTCTGGAAGAAGGCCGCGTTGCTTTCTTTTATTACCCACGTGTGTTCACAGTAGCCGCCCACTCGGTCACCCCGCAGCTCCCGCTAACGTGTGGTGGTTGCGTAACGCTTTACAGGCACGGTACACATCCAAAATGTCTGCCAGGTAATGAGGTGGGTTTACTGGGAAATGTGGGACAGAGTGATGATGGAAGATCAGATCTGACCTGAAGTTCTGCTGCGCTGCAGACTCACATTCGCACAAACAATCACAATTCATGTTTTTGAAAAGTCTGAAACTTTTGTACCGCAGACGATCACAAACACTTGAACCAGGAAGTCTTAAAGTTTTAAAAACGTTGACTGTGACTCTGCTGCATTCATTCTTTGTGTTGATCGTCTCCGGTGCTGACTTGTTGTTCGTGCTGTTTCTGGTCCTCAGCCGTCGCTGTCGGTGCTCTACATGCTGTCTGACGGAGCGACCCACGAGGCCGTGCACCTCCTCTGCCGGATGCTGGTCTTTGATCCGGTGAGTTGATGCTGAGCTGATGTCCGGCTCCTCCGGCGCTCTGTCGTCTTCTGACCTTCAGCTCGTTCTGTTTAATGTTTGCTGTTGTGACCCAAACGTGGACACCTCGGTCTGAATTAACGCTGCAGCTGTTTTACTCCAACGAACAGCTTTAAGTCGCATCGCCTGTAACGGCGAGGTCTGCTCGGCGACCGGCAGACCCTGGCAGGAAGCTCGGAAGAGAGTGAGCATGACGGCGGTAAATCTCTGGGTTTTTAGTCGTTGGCGAGTGATTTGGCGAGCGGGTCTTGTGGACTTGGAAGTAACACCAGCTGATTGATGGGTCTTCAGGGCTTTTCCTCATCACAGTTTGGGGTTCAGGAGAGCCACGTACTGTTGCTGTTACCAGATATCATATTTACTGCTGAGGAAATGAAACCGATTTTTTTAAAAAGAAGAAAAGCTGTTTCCTGGATGCAGGAAAAACCCTGGACAGTTATCGCTGAGCTGCAACAGCTGAGGCGACTCAGTGACGTCAGCACAGAAAACTGTTTGAACTGTCGTTAAATTAGGAAAAGAAGGTTTCTGTCCCACTGATAAGTATCCATTGTGATGTAACTCACTACTGCAGCCAGAAGGTGGAACTCTGGGCGGTGCAGCCCAGATGTTTCCACAGCTGTGCTTTTGTCACAGCTGTTGTCTCTCTCAACACCGTGGATTTAAAAACCAAACAGATGCTTGAAGTGCAGATTTTCATCTTTCATTCGAGGAACTGGACTGATTTTTGTTTTGTTAGCGTTTCGTCTCAGAGTGGATTTAATGCAGCTCGTCTGACACTTTAAATCTTCTGCTCACACCGAGACCTTAACTCGGTTTGCGCCTTGTATCTGTGGATATTTGTGCTGTATGAAAAGCAGCACGTGCACGGCCTTTCCGTGAAAGTGGTGACACGATCGAGCACAGCTGTTGATCCACTGCCAAACTCAGGTGTCACTTGTTAGCTGAGCGCTGGTTTTAGTCCAGCAGGACAGATGTTCACGTGACACACTCGGCTGAATGTGTGTGACTGGTAGTTTCCTTGAGGGTGTTGCACAGGGCTCAGTACTTGGTCCTGTCATGTTGTACTCCTCTACACTCATCAGCGCCCTCTGTTGACAAAGCGTCAAATTAAAATTGTTTGTTTTTGACAATTCAAACTCTGCTGATTAAACTCTTTAAGTAACTGTGAGACTAAATGCACTCGCATGCTTTTAACACCCAGCAGACTTCTTCCTAACTAATGTGTATGTGGGTGTGTTACATGGACCAGTAAGGGGTCAATGTTGTTATTGTAGTTATGCAGTTATGTTTTTAAATGTGTTGCTGTCCTTAAATCAGTGGCTCAAACCATCCTAAAAATGAAACGGCACTTCAAGAAACTTTAAACATCACAAATGAGAGAAAACGCAAACCTGACACGAGGTGCCGGCGCGATGAGGCAGAGAGAAGAGGAAGACGAGCAGGAAGCGGCGACACAGCGCTGTCGCATTCAGACTTCGCAAACTAAATACTAAAAGCATGGGAGCCCCATGCTCCGCCCTCTCTGGCTTTATATGCATGCAGGTGAGCCTCTGCAGCCAATCAGCACTCAGAATGAACCTGTGAAGGACCAATCAGAGAAAAGTTTCTGCTCAGTGAGGTTTGCTGCTGCTTGGTCATGTGACTTCAGATGAAGGTCTCACCTGAATCCGTCAGCTGGAGAATTATTCACTGTTCCTCTGCTCTTCTCTTCAGGCGAAGAGGATTTCGGGCAGCGACGCCCTCTCCCACCCTTACCTGGATGAAGGGCGTCTGCGTTACCACACCTGCATGTGTCAGTGCTGCTACTCCGTCCCCAGCGGGCGAGTTTACACCCGGGACTTTGAGCCGGTCGCTGAGCGTCCGTTCAGCCACAGCTACGAGAACAGCCTGCTGTCAGTGTGGCAGGGAAAAGGTACGCCGGCGGCACCGTGATGCTTTCCTTTGGCGGCAGTCTGAGCATGAACGCGCGACTCGCTCTGGGTCACGTATAGAGCAGGGCGATATGGGCAAAAATATTTATCACGATATATATTTGAAAATTTGTGAAAACGATATAACTGACGATATAATTGGCTAACAACATTTAACAGTGCAAATACAAATTCCTTGATGAAAGTTTAACCAAAAGGCATCTCCAGTAGAAACGTGCTGACATATCCTGAGTTAACCATGTATAATATCCACTGAAGTTAAAAAGAGGAGCTTTGCAGCATTAAACTGCAGTGTGCCAAATAAAAAAGTCAAATACGGATTTTTCCGACCACAAGGTGCACGGGAATATAAGACAAAACAGAGCAGTCAGATAAATCAAACTTTATTAAACTCATTCTTCTTGCTTCCTCCACTTCTGTACCATCGATTCATTAATGCTGTATTCTATCACAGCGGCTCTGTTCCCATGTTGTTGCAGTATATTAATGACTAACCTCGTATTGTGGATGGATTATCTCAGTCTCCTGACTGAAGTTTGGTCCGTTTACAGCATCCTGCCATGCGATTGTATTTGTCTCTAACCACCAGGAACCTTCACGTTAACTTTTATCGAGTGGAAGAAAGTTTCACTGTTTATGTTATGCTAACATAGCTGTGTAGCTAGCGATCACGTAGCACATCATTATATAGCAGCTAGCCCAACTTCAGTAACCCTACAAACGTCACTGCTGTTTAGTTTTCTGTCTTCATTCATGTTGGAAGTGACAGCAGAGCTGTACGTTTGAATGCTTCATAAATCTCTGTCAGAACATGCTATATCATGTTTAAGTAACTAGCGAGCTAACTTCCTGCTAACGTCTAACTCCGTTAAATGTAATGAATTCTGTTTTCATGGATGCCTGGATGTTGAACTTCATAATTACACCTGGTAAAGCAGCAATGCTGATCATTTCATTAGAGATGAAAGAATTTAGACTGTTTTACACTCTCAGCGATGTTCGTTTGACTTCGGGACTTTAAAGGACAGAGTTTAGGACCCAGATTACTCCCAGATTTACGAGCACCGTAGTCTGACAAATACAGCAATAATGACGGCTGCTTGCATGTTCTACAAAACAATTTGTGTGTCTGACGGACAAACACCAAACCAGTTCTGGTTCATCTGTTTCACTCAACAATCGGCCATGTGCGTATGAAAACAAAGGCACTGCGCATGCGCGTTTTACCCATATTCTATCGCCAGATTTCATTTTCTTATCATTGCCTAACACTGTAGCGGTATTACCGTGAACGGTATAATATGGCCGAGCCGTAGCCACGTAATGTTTGTTACAGGTTTTTACTTTAATTTTCCCAGCAGCAGGTGATTGATGTCGCACAGTCAAACAAGTCTTTGACAAACATCCTCTTTACCTTTCATAATAAAAGCCCTACAAACAAACACTAACTCTGAGAGAGAGCAGTAGCCTTCACTGTGAAAGTGGAGTGTGGAGGTCTAAACCTGGTGAAATCATCATCGAGATGATTTGAAACTCTTGAAATTATTTGTTTTTCTATAATACCGTATTTAATTTAGATATTTTATTATTCTTTGTGGTGTGTGTGGTATACTGTGGGGTTTTTTGTTTTGTTTTTTTAATATATAACGATTTTTGCAGTTTGTCCTCCATAACTGGAACCGTAGCATGAAAACGAAGAGCAGCTGTAAGCTGTGATGTTTGCGGCTGATGATCCCGTTTCTGTCCTCAGAGTTGATCCATCGCTTCATCACGGAGCACCAGCAGGGCAAACGGGTGCCGCTGTGCATCAATCCTCAGAGTGCTGCCTTCAAGACCTTCATCAGGTGAGGAGGATGAGGAGGGCAGGACTTCAGGGTGGGTTGAGGAAAACAAGGCGACGTTAAAATCAATGCGTTTGTGCTGAAACTGATAACATAGACTCGGTGCAAAACTACAAGATAAGCCTGATCCGGCTCTGTTTGTGGTCTCTTCCTGTTTAGGAGTTCTTTATTCCTACTGTCACCGAGTGCAGCTCATACAGGCGTTTTCTTCATTCAACTTTTAAGTCTTAAACACTTTTTTAGTTCTAGGGTCAAATGGTGGAGAGTCCCAGATCCCATTGTCCCTCTGGGGGGGGGGGCACTCCCACAGGGCTTTAACCTGCCACCCTCCACCATTTGACCTTAGAACTGAAGAAGCTTCTTGGATGAGAGGTGAAACGTCTTCAAGCAACTTAAAGAAGTCCAGACGCTTTTCTTTCCAAGCTCCTTAGACTTCTTCCTTAATCCCTGTTTATACACCTCTGCATCTAATTATTAATCTCTCCTCCACATCTGAGCCTGATTCTACTGGAGCTCTCTTCCTGTTAAAAGGGAGGTTTTTTGTTGTTGTTCCCACTGTTGCCAAGTGTTTGCTCGTAGGGGCCGTCTGATTGTTGGGGTTACAATATAAACCGCCTTGAGGAGGCTGCTGTTGTGGTTTGGTGCTGTATACATTACATTGAATAAGGTGACCTCAGTATTGTCTCTAACAGGAAAATGAGCGTCTGTCTCTTTAAGGAGGACTATGACGTCGCCCTGACCTGGTGAACACTCACAGTCTTTGTTTCCACAGGTCCACTGCGTGGCACTCCTCTAAGGTGTCCAGGAAGGAGGAGAGATGAACGGCGCTCCTCTGCATCTCGAGGAACGACGGCAGTTTGAGAGGGGACTTCATTGGCTGTGGCATCTGAAAGCACTGAAGAGTTTGGGTCATCTTTTCTTCTTTTTCCTTTTTGTTTTTTCCCCTTCACCTGGAGGAGACTGTCACACCCGCCCACACCAGGACCTCGTGAAAAACCTCAAATATTTCCTCCCCCGTGATTCGACCCAAACTTCTGACGCTCTGCGTTTTTCGGTGCTGAACTTCAAAAAAAACAAAACAAAAAAAAACAAATTTAAGAAAAAAAAAAAAGGAAAAAAAAGCTGCTGACGTGAGACACAGGAAGTGGACTGGATTTGGATTTTCATGTGTTCGTAGAGACTTTAAAGATTTTAACTGTTTGGTAGATTCGATGCTTAGTTGATGTTTGAAGTCATTCCAGCCCTGTGCAATACGGATTCATTCGAAAAGGCGATAAACACGGTGGGGGGCGGGGCTGCCTACGATGTAATGGGTTGGTCGGTATGACATCATCGCCCGCCAAACATCGCCAAGGTCTTTGTTTCCTTTCTTTATAAATACCACATCACTCACTGTGTTTTCACCTCGCGGCGTCTTCATGGCGTCTGCGTGGTGATGATAATGCAATTTCACAGATGTAGCAGGTTTTAACCAACAGGTGTTTCTGCACACACGGTTACCTTTGCCCCCCCACCCCCCCAGCGAGCTGTTCGGTTCTTGTGTTTGACCACCCTTCTCCCTCGTCCAGCAGGAGTTTAATCAGGAATTCATCGTCCTCAGTTTCATTTCTCCAGGCTGTGTGGTGGCAGACTCTTATTTTGAAAAGGACGACAGGAAATTGTGACTGCTTTTAGTCGTCTGATGCGGTGTTCTGATCAGAAAGAGATATCTGCAGATATGTGGCAGCTTCTCCCCTAATGCGGACTTTTCCCTCCCGTCTCAGCGTGTGTTCTGACATTTCCCCGCTCGCCTCCTCCGCCCTCGCTAACAGGAAGAGGAAGTGACGGCGGTGACGTTTTCTTTTAATTTATTGAGTGTTTGACAGGGGTGTGTCTCCACCGTGGCAGGTTACCTCAATCCAAGGAAAAATAAAAGCCTCTATAAAAAGAATAAACTGGAGGGGAAATGAAACCACTTTTCCCATCATTCCTCCAGATTCAGTGACTTTTACCTCGTGCTCGCTCTGAGTCGGTGTGGACGGGACGCTGTGGGTGAAATGCTGCTGGGTTTTTTTGTGTTTTTTTTTTTTTTTTTTTTTTGTGTTTTCCCGTGTCAGGCGGAGGCTCAGGTGTCCTCATAGATGAACTGCGTGAAACCACAAAAGGAGGCGGCGGTGTTACCCCGGTGTGCTAACGGGACGGCAGCGGTGCGTTTCCTCCACTACCCGGGAGCCTAAAGGTCCCAAGAACCCAGGAACCGTCCTTCAGCCCTGTAATCGGGTTCCCACGTCTAAATCTGAGAGAACTCAGTTCCTTTACTAAACTCTGGAAGCTCAGATTTGTTTTTCCTGAGTGTGATCTGAAGTGTTTGTCAGGATGAAAATGAGTCTTTCCAGCTTCCCTCTTTAGTTTTTTCTTTCTAACACTTGTTTTCAGCCGCAGGAAGTGCTGCGCTAAATGGCACTTGTGCATGGTGTAAAACGCGCTGCAGAAGTGCCTTAACCCTGCATTCTTCCTAATGGCCAGCAGGGGGCGACTCCTAGCTGCAGGAAGGGTTAGTTGTAGAGAAGCGCGTCGCTCTGCGAACATTTTCCTGTTTGTGGTCTCAGCTTCTCGTCTGAATAAAACATGAAGGAGATTCGTAGTTTATGGTCGTCACGGTGATCTGAGGCTCAGCGGGATGTGCCGTTTTCAGTCAGATCGTTCCCGCCTAAAAGCACGAGTGAAAAACGGGACTTCACTAACCACACGGCGTCTGCAGCAGCAACATCCATCTTTTAAATGCAGTGTGCTCGTCGTCTCCTTGTGGCCAAAATGAGAATTACAAAAACATCAGATGGAGGATTCGGAGCTGGGATCTTCAGGAAGTGGCTGAAGGGAGTTTCTGGGCTTTGTTTGGACTCCTGTGGAGGAAACGCAGATAAATGACCCGAGTTCCACAAAAGGTTCTTGGTCCTGCGGTGGGAACAAGACCGAAAATATTCACGAGGATTTTCAGAGTAAAAGCTCCCGATTTATCTTGTACCGCTCCATCCTGTGTCGGCCGCAGACAGGAAGCGGAGTCGTATGTTTGTAGCTTCAAAACCATTAGAAACGTTGAAGCGTCGACGATCAGCGGTGCCTGATGCTCACGGCTCTCCTGAAGTGTGATTGGTCGCAAGCCTGCAGGCCTTCAGTCTGTGAGGGGCCCGCTGGTGGTTTTGGTAACGCGCTAACCTGAAGGTTTCACCTTGAAAATAAGCAGACGCCGCTTTAGCCGCTGTTTCACACGCGAGAGGCGCCTGTTTAACACTGAAGCAGATTTTACTGTGTGTGTGTGAAATCAGCAGATTAATCATCCTGATGTTCTCAGTAGTTGAATAATTTCAGTTTCTCATTTTGTTGTAAAGAAAAAGGAAAAATCGCATCAGGAAGCAGCAGGTTGACCTGTGGCTGAGCAGGCGTGTCATCCATCAGCCTGGTTCTGATTGGAGATTGGCAGCCCCTCCCCCACCTATTTAGTGCAGTGTGACTGCAAAGAAGCTTTTTAGGATCTCTGAGGGTCGACGAAGCAGCCCAAGTTTGTTTGTTTTTGGTCGTTTCACGAACTTTGCGATGTGAAGACTCGGCGGGAACCCACAGCTCGCGGTGCCTCGCTTCCTGGGCTCGCCGGGCGTCCTCGCCGGGCGTCCTCGCCGGGCCGGGCGTCCTCGCCGCTCCTGCGCCCTCCTGGTTTCTTTAAACTTTCTTGGAACCCCTGAAACCTCAGCTTGCGTCGCCGTGGAAACGCGGAGGGCGACTTGTATATCTGCATGTGTATATTTATTACCCCGCGGAGAGCGTTTGGGTCTGAATGCTGTGCAATGGTTGAGTTTGTCGAAGATGACGAAAACCTTTTGTGGTCGTTTTATTTAATTCATCTTTAGGAAGTGATTTTATTAGCAGGCTTTTATTTTGTTTTTGTTTGTTGTGATCGAATTAGATTTTTTGGGGGTTTTCTTTGTTTTTATGCGAGTCCGGAGACGAGAACGTTTACGTAACAACAACAACAACAACAACAACAACAACCCACCTGCACGTGTGCAGCTCTGTCTGACTTCAGTCACATGACCGGAACGCTGCTGCTGGTTGGTTTGTCCTGCAGAGGAATTCTGTGTGAAGACCTTTGACCTTAACCTGAAAGGCGTTTCCTTCCGCCTCACGCCCAACTTTTCCTCAGCACAGGCTCGGCTGTGTGACGACATTGTTCATCATGAAGCTTCTTTTTTGGCCTCCTTATAAATTACGAGCACGGACAGATTAGTGGCACCGGAGCGTCGTCAGGAGGTCGTGTGATTGGTTCGTTTCTTTGTTAGCGTTGAGCGCCGCAGACGTCTGCAGGTTGTTACAGTAAACTCAATAACGACTGTGGAAAACGGCCGTTTAGGGAACTTAAAGAAAACTCAAGGAAACAATTTTGTGTTCTTAAAAAAACGAAGTTTATTTTTGGCGGTGTGATCGTGAGGCTCGTCAGGAAAACCTGTCACTCGTCCAGAGACTCACACTTTAGTTTGTATTGACCAATCAGGTCCGAGCAGCCTCGGGTTGCTTGCAGGTAAACAAAGCGGCCATCATGTGATGTAAATACCATACAGCACGTTTCCTGCTGCAGATTGGGTCACAAATCCTATTTGTGTGAGTTTCTGTTAAAGGTCGATGATGGTCTCCTTCATGAATGGGTCGTTTCTCCAGCCTGCAGATGTTCAGCAGATGTTCGCAGCGACTAAAAGTGCAACTCTGACTTCAGAGAGACGCGCGGTCACTCGGCCGTGTTCCCTCCGGACTCGTCTCTTTCCTCGTTTCTGTCGTCGTGGTCGTAGAGGTCCTTCCAGCTTAGGCGACCCGTGTTTGGTCTTTCCCTCCCTGCACTGTTCTCAGATCAGCCGTCGGGTGAAGCGGAGCGAGGCGGCTGCTCTGCTGTAGAGATTAGACTCGTTTTTCTTCTATGAAAAGAAACTTGATGTGTTGATTATTCTAAATATGATGTTTTAAAAAGATGTTTTTGTTTTAGCAAAGTTTTTGTTTTTTTGACTTGTGTTCCCAACAAATACTTGAATTTCTTAAAAAAATGTTTAGAGTTAAAGTAGTGAATGACAGATACATAAATAAATGGACACTGGATAAAACTCTGGCTCGTGTTTCCTCTGCAGCTCATTTCAGCTGCGCTGCATCCACCGCATGATCTCATGTCGGCTTTCCTCGGTCATGTGACTGCTCCAAAAAATTAAAGAAACACTTTACAGCAGGGGGGGAACTCCAGGCCTGCAGGTCTTAGATCTCACCCTGGGTCAGCACACATGAATCACATGACTAGTTCATTGCCAGGCCTCTGGAGAACTTGGAGACATGTTGAGGACACGTGTAAAACCTGCAGGACACCGTCCCTCGGGCCCTGGCCTTCCCTTCCCCTGTTGTAATGTTTTGAGCAGTGTGTGTGTATAAATTCACAAAGTAGTCACGACCTGCTTCCTTTAGGTGGCGCCACAGAGGATCATCCACAAACCTCCCCTGAGGTCTCTTCATCCTTCACCCTCCCTCCTCTGCACACGCTCAGACTGTCCCAGCCTCCCTGACTGAGCTGTCCCTCTGATGGACTCATTTCTGGTCCTGTCCCTGCTGTCCAACCTCTTCAGCTCGGCCTCCTCCGTCTCTGAACCACCCCAGCAGGTCTTTAAACCCTCCCTTCCCTCCTGTCACAGATCAGCTCTCACTCGTCTCCACCTCTCTGGTGGCCGGTATTTAAACTCCTCCACCTTCCTCGCCTCCCTCTGATTCACACTCATTTATTCTGACCTGCTTCTACTCACTTTCTCCTCCTTTCACCTGCTCACATTAATCATTAATAATATAAGAATTCATCTGTTGAAGCCACAGAAGTCTGGCAGTAAAATAAATCCCCTCTCGTTTCTAGTTTCATGAACTTTACTCGGCGCCAGCTATAAACTCCTTAAACGTGCTCGGCCTGTTGTGCCCCAGTTATGGTTGAATAACTGAGGCTCGTATATCCATAATCATCACAAATCGACTAAAATAAGAAGCAAAAGTTAAACATTGTCAGTCTCTTATCTGCTCCTTCAGACAAATATGGGCTAACTCAGGGAAACAGACTTTGAACTTTAACCTTTAGGCCGATACCACAGACCTGAAAGCTCCGCCCTCTGCTTTACATCTACCTGCCCTGCACCGGTGTCTGAGTCATTCATGTAAAACTAAAGAGTTTGCATCAGAGTGTTAAAAATGACTAAATGCTTCATCATTCATTAAACGGTGATGACAGGAACGTGTTTGTATTTCCTGCTGGAGCTTCTACAGTCACAGCAGGCGGACGTCAGATTTGGCTTCAGTTTGTGTGTCAGCAGTGTTTTAATACTGCAGCACTGATGGTTTTTAATGAAGTCAGATCATATGAATACTCGTTCAGCTGCTGCTGTTTGATCTGCATCTGGTGTTTAAGAACTTCTCACATGAACATCACAAAATGAAGACGTGCACACTTTCATTTATAATAACTGACTTTATCTCCCTGTGAGTACACAACATGTAATTCAAGTGTGATTTCACTTTTTTCAGGCTAATGTCACATCGTTTTACTTCTAATGAATAGAAAACTGTATTTCTTCATTATTATCTATAAAACAAAGTGATGTCCAAGCTTGTAGTTCAGTTTTGATTAATGATGATGAAAGCATCACATTCAGAAAATCTAACTTCTATGGAGAACTCAAAGTCTCAAAATAAGAGAAGCAAACATTCAAATCCAAATTTATTTTTACTACAAAATGTGCAAAATAACTTAGTAATACTTTAATTCTTTTACATTTCCATCCAGAGGCGGGGGTCCGGTCTCCAGCCAACAACCGTTCACAGGCACCAGTTAACCTGACCCCACTAACTGCAGGTGACTGTGGGAGGAACCCACACACCCACGGTGGTGGGGGCAAACTCAGCCTTGACTTTTAATTTGAAATGTATTTTTATGTCCCTTGGTGCTCCTAGTTACGCTGAGCAGATTACGAGGACGTTCCTCGAGATGAGGGCCCGCCTGTGAATAAAGCGTTGCTCGTATTTCACACTGATTTGCAAATAATCAAATGACATGAATAACCTGGAGGGAACCTGCTTTCTGCTGACCCGGCCTGCAGATCCTCTCCCATCACCACACCTCTGACAGGTGGCAGCACGAGGCTCCTCCCCCAAACCACTCCTACCAACCCGTGCTCTCCTAACCTCCCACATCCACGGGAGCGGGAGAGTAAAGCCACACACACACGTGCACACTTCTGAGAAGTGTGTTGCCATGTGGGGCCTCGTGGCTGCCGGGTCCGTCTTCTTCCCAGGACTCTTCCTCCTGTCCAAACAGGCTCTCAAACAGCTGATGGGATGGAGCGAGGGGGACGCCGCTGTCGTGTCAACACGGTAGGAACACACACACACTTCACAGGACATCACACTTGTCTTTCTCTTAAACGCAGTTTGACTTACGGAGGATGACCTCCCCAGAAGTGAGTGAGTCCCACAGTCTTATCCTGGCCTCAGTTTGACCCGACAGTGTGTGAGCTGAAGCTGCTGCAGATGAACCAAGACTGTTTTTGTTTGCTGTCCCTCATCACTTTGTGTCTCTTTGTAGTTATTGTGTATCTGTAGTTGTATCTTTTGCACTGTTTGTAACTGGTTTAATGACTTTACGTGTCCATGTGAGTATTAGTTTTACTTTCCAACAATAAGGAAGCTGTCACCTCAAACAGCTCCTCGCTGGAACCTTTGCATGCTTTGAGACCTAAATGTGAAGCTTTTATTTTATTTAGTTCTTTTTTTGAAGATTTAGATGCATCACGCAAACATACGACACATGTCCAGTTAAAGTTCAGCTGTTTGTTTCTCTTGTTTCAGCTGCTTTGATTATTATCTTGCTTGTGTTCTCAGCCTGGTGTCATCCATCCAGTCCATCATGGCCTCCTCAGCCGGATGCATCATCATCGCGTCCTGCAGGGACGTCATCGAGGACCGGTGAGGACTCCTCTGGTTCTTATTGTCTCTTCATCATTTTACCTTCATACAATTAAACCTTCCCTCTTTGTGGTCCATTTATCAGCAGTGTCATTGTTATGTATTCTTTTCTCATCAAAATTTGCTCCCAGATTATTTTGAATTTAGACATTTTTGATTTTAACATTCAGCTGAATTCTCCCAAAGAAAATTATTATTTTATCGAGGAATAAAAAAAAATTAAAACCTTTTTTTCTGCTGCTGCATAGAAAAGGTAAAGCCCTCAGCCTCAGTGTGAGGATTCTGTATGAAGCAAAGCTCAGCCGATAATCTCATTAACAATCTGAGCCTAATGTGCAGCAGCAGCAGGGTTATTTCAGTCTGAGACTAATCCTGCACGCTGAGCATGATGGGAAATGAAACTCTGTCAAGGAGCAGAGGGACGACAGCAGAGCGCCGTGGTGGTCAGCTGGTTTCTCATTTCCCAGTCAAAGTGGAGCAAAGGTTTGAATCTGAGTCTGAGCTGCATTTGCTTATCAAATCACAACGCTCCACAAGCAGCAAGGAACTCTGGGAGTTCGTACACCTACAGCTCAGCAGGAAGTTCGGTTTAGAAAATACATTTTTACCTCAAAAATAGGAAAGAAGGAAGCGTTTCAGTGCTTTACCACAGTAAAAGTATCCTAAAAACCTCCAATACACTTCTGACAATTCAGCATTCAGGCTCCTGCCTGCACAGCTGAGCTTTTCATCCACTCACACGTATCAGGAGTATCAGGAGTATCAGGAGTATCAGGGTGATTTTGGAAAAGGTGCTGCTGGGTGTCCATGCAGGGTGGAGGTCGGAGTGGACGGATGGAGCCACATAATAAATGTTGTTCTCCTTGTTTCCATCACATCTCCTGTTGCTCCTGATGCTCATATTAAACATGACCATGAGCTCAGTGTATTGGAACAGTTGCTGTTGTAATGCAGTGTATCGCCACATGGCGGCGCCCCCATTTTGTTCTTCTTCACAGTCTCTCTGCGATGGATTCTTCTGTGTGTACGTGGGCTAGTGTGCTCTCAGGTATCGTGTGGTAGAGGTGGCACTTTTATTTTTGATACTTTAAGTAAATGAGTACTTCTGGAAAGTCAGAAGCCGTTGCTGATTCGCTCTCCACCTGCACACCTCCGCCCCTGGCTTCATCTCCACCGCACGTTACAGCATGCACAGTAATGACAAAAGCTCTTTTTTTTCTAACTGTTGGATCAGTGTGATGAAGCCTCACCCACATGCTGTGTATGAGGGGCAGCCAATCAAAAGACAGGTCTCTCACAGGGAGGAAAAACTAGTTTCAGGATGACCTGAGAGGCTCCAGTGTGAGACAAAGAAGGATTACTTTTAAATGTGATTCATGCAAAGCCGCTTTAGAAGACTCCAAGACAGAAAATCTAGAGTTGGAAATAAGAAGAGAAGGACAGCTGAACACACAGGTGCAGTTTGTTTTAGACTCTGGGAGTCTAATCAGATCTGATTGTTTTAATTATTCATCTGTGGACACCTGCTTAGAAGACGGAGGAAAAGGTGCCCAAAGAGGCTCAGACATTTTATGTCTGAACTGCAGCTTCTTCTACTTGCATTTCAGTGTGACAGCGCCTACTAGTGGATGCCCATGCTTACTGCAGTAAAGGAAGTCGGGTGACAAAGTGTTGGAGCCATGAAGTGAGTGCAGGGAGGAGGCCCGGGTGGATGTATGGGTCAGATAACGTTAAACTGGAGCACAGGGCGGTGTCTTGGATGTTTCTGGCCTAAATGAACCTGGTGTCTTAAATCTGAGATCAAAGTAATGATGCTGCTTCAGCCTCTCTCCATCTCCTCTCTGCTCAGACATTGGCTGACTGATGCCTACATCTTATTTGCCACACCTTACTTTGCCTACGACATCTACGCCATGTTTCTGTGTTACCGGCACAAGCTGCAGGTCAAAGGTCACGAGGAGGCGGGCCAAAGCGTTGGGTTGATGGGAGCCACTGTGATTGGTTACCTGCGCAGGGAGTTCCTCATGGTGCTGCACCACATCTTCATGGTGACCTTCTGCTTCCCCGCCTCTCTGGTAACTATGACAACAGCAAACATTGACAGTGACACATCCACCCTGATCATAGACTGTACACAAAGATGGACACCTTTGCATTTGTTCTCTGGGCGACTCATGAATAGAAGTCTATGAGAAAATTAACCTTCAGCTCATCTGTCTGAGCTTAGTGAACACTTTCCTGATGAACTGATGGTGGCAGTCGCTGGTTTCAGGTCTTACTGAATAAAACATGGAGTCATTTTGGAGGTAAAACCCCCAGGAAGTAGGACTCAGCTTGTTGAGGTTCAAACAAACTCTGAAGTGCCAAAAGCTGCAGTTCCTCTGACATCCACTGGAGGTCCCAGCGAGTGGCAATGAGTGCTACGAAAAACTTTAGTCTCAACAGATCATTTGCTCCTTTATAAAAACTGTTTAAAACGTATTAAGGCTTAAAGTTTAGGGGCGTGGCCTCTTTGGCTGTATCTGCAGCTAACTGAAGTCCCTGAACTGGACCTCTAGACCATGTTTAAGCTGTTGGGGCCTTTGGGAGCATTTTTAATGATCTGACTGAGAATACGTCTGCTGTGAGGCTGCTGTACTAACAGACCGTCTGAGGCTGAGCTCCAGTTTAGGTGGAATTCTAAGATTTTATTCGGATGTAACTTGACTGTTATTGGCAAATATCTGTGTGATGCTCCCATACAGTTTATGATAACCAAGCTAGCTAGAATTAGCTGCTAACTTAGCGCTCTTGAGACCCTGTGGTCCAAATGTGATCACCTCCAAAATGCTAACACTGTGGGGTTTCCAGTGTGAGGGTGACATCATGGTGGCTACATCCATCGTCTTTGTACAGTCTGTTATTATAGTAAAACATGTGTACATTAAATTACAATTTCTCCTTCCTGTGTGTGTGTCAGCTGTGGAGGCAGGGTAAAGGTGATTACTTCCAGGGCGTCTTGTTTCTGGCTGAGCTCAGCACCCCGTCTGTCTCTCTGGGGAAAGTCCTGATCCAGGTAATCCGCCTCCCTCCAACCTTTTACTTGTGTGTGTCTGTGCATGTTTAGACATCTTTGTGAGTTGTCTACTATACTTATGGGGACCAAAACCAGCTCCCACGAGTTTGAAGACATTTTTGATGCTCAAAATGTGGTTTTAGTGTCAGGGTTACAGTTAGTTATGGTTAGGCTTTCATCTCTGATGGTTAGAGTCCACGGCTAGTCAGTGAAATGTCCTCACTAAGATATGAGATTAGATAGAACTTTATTAATCCCTCGGGTGGGTTCCTCCAGGAAATTAAGTCAATGAATGAAATTGGCGAATGGTGGCTCGTGTTTGAGTGATCAGCAGCCATCATCGTGCTGCACTGGCTGCTTGAGCATTTCTTTAGTTTAGTCACTTGTATATCATTTGTTCTCAGCACTTTTCGGTGTCCTTCCATTCTCCTTCTTTCTGTCGTCTCTCTACCTCCACGCTGGACTCTCCATCCACCCATTCTCGTCCGCTTGTCGTTCTCAGGGCCGCGGGGGGGCTGAGCCTATCCCAGCTGTTTGTAGAGGCAGGGTACACCCTGGACAGGTCGCCAGTCTACACTGGACTATTCGTTTCAATTTCATTTCATTTATATAGCACCAAGTCACAACAGCAGCCGTCTCAGGGGGCTTTAGGGTAAAGCCCCAACAATCATATGACCCCTATGAGCAAGCGCTTGGAAACACTCTCTTTCAACAGGAAGAAACCTGCGGCAGAACCAGGCTGGTTTTTTATTCATTAAATAATTAACTCATTGATTCATTAATCTACGTTTTAGTTAAATGACAGACTTTTACAAATCCTCACTCAGTCAGTGTGTCGGGTTATAACTGGGGGCGTTGCTGTGATGGCGCCTCGTCCTCACCCTGACAGTCTGACCATGAACCCCGTTTGCTTCCTTCACATTTGGAGCGCTGAGCAAACTATTTGTTTTCTAAGTATAGAAGTTCAAGGATGAGGATGTTTTATATTTCTCTCTGTTCTGCAGCACGGCTATTAAAATCATGAGCATGTGTAGTGTATCGTCTCCCTGACCCACTTCAGAAACACATTTGAGTTTATTCTGGATTATATAATCTCTGTCCTGGCACCAAATGTGTAATAATCTAAACACTAAATTGATCCACTGCTTTTTTAAATGCATATGCCTCCTTCCACCGTCTCCCTCAGCAGCATGAGTCTGCTGATGTTTAGACTGATTCTGGGGAAACCTGAGGGGGACTATAATCTATAATCTCCATAATTTCTAACATCAGGAAAAGCTGAGCACTGTGCTTTCTCTGCACATGCTCATTGGGACTCTCTCCACGCTTGTGGAGCAGATAATTTAAAATTGATTTGGGATAAAATAGTCTCTTCTTTTCTTTTTTAAACTAAAGCATTTTTATTCTGTCGTCTACACTTTAACCTCCTAGGACCACATATGTGGGCGTCACATTTTGGGTTATTTAGACCAAAATACAGAATTTGTCTCTACAAGGGCCCGATGTCCACCTGTGAGGACAGCATACTGCCACCGCTCTATCGAAATTTAAAACAAACCTCCTCATACATGGATCCCAGTTTTCTCAGAAACAAAAATCAGGTAAAAAAAATAAAATCTGGTCATTCTTTGTTTTTACATCATCAGGTCCCAATCAGCCCAAATATCACAGAGAAATTACAAAAGCATGCCATGAAAGAGTTCAGGGGGTTAAATAACTGCAGCTTTAAACTGGAACCGTTTTCATTTTTCGATATAAAATGTAAATACTGTCGTTTCCAGCTGCTGTTGGCAAACCAACATGTTCTAATAACGTGCTGGACAACACATCACGTCCCAGCGAGACACACTGGTCAGTTTTTTCACCGTGAAAATACACAAAACACACTGCAGTTACTCACACAGCGCTCTTGTCTTTCTTTCTATTTTACAGATTTCTAATCGTTTGTGTTCTATCACCTGTGCAAATAGACTTTAAAAAGCTCACATTTAATAAAGTACACTGGTTTAATGAAAGCTCTGACTTCTAAAATCATTTCAAGCACATACAGAATGTTAAGTATTAGATCAGCAGTTACATAATTAACTCTGACTGAAACATTTCCACCTCTAATCAGAACCAACGTTTGACGTCTCCTGTCATTATTTGTTAAAGTGAATTATTTGTTTTCTGTCTCGTTTCTCTTCATGACGATGATGATGATGATGATGACGATGATGATGACGATGACGATGTCTTCAGTATAAGAAGCAGCACACGCTGCTGCACAAAGTGAACGGCGTCGTCATGCTGCTCACCTTCTTCGGTTGTCGGGTCTTACTCTTTCCCTACCTGTACTACGCCTACGGCAGGTAAGCCACGCCCACCTCTGCTTTTGTAATAATGATCAAAAACAACAGTGATTGTCTGCAAACACAAAAGCCCCCAAAATGAATCAATATTTGTTTAATGATTTTCCTCTTTGTCTTCTAAAACAACACAAACAAACAAACAAAAATATTTCTTGGCCATTTACTGATTTATTGCGGAAAAGATGACCCAGCATTACAGATCTATAAGGATTTATATCTCATTTAGTTATCAGTTAATTTAAAGGTGGACGTGGTTTGTGTGTGTCTCAGTGTTCAGTGAAAAACAGGTTTCACATAAAAACTGACGTTAAACAGCAACACGACCCACGTTTAGGAAGCAAACGTGGGTCGTGTTGCTGTTTAACGTCAGAGGCTGAGCTGAGCGTGACTTTCTTTTACTTTGTGTTATAAAACCAAACTATGTAGCAAATCAAATGAAATGAGTTCGACTTCATTTTAAGATATTTGTAAAATTCAACATAATCAAATAAAAAATGAGCCCGTTTACTCTGAGCTGAGGGCGCGTGAGCCGAACACGTCACACTGATCTCACACAGCAAGTACAGTTATAGTGTTCGACGTCGGGCCCAAAGGACACGTAGTTCAGTGCAAGTACGTAAAAACTTGTAGCCACAACATCCGCAGCGTGACGGTGAAAGAAGATTCTGATCTTTCATCTTTGTGAGCGAGAATCTTCTGACTCCTCAGAAACATCCAGAACGCTGTGTGACTGTGAGTCAGACAAACTGACGATTCTTCTGTCGTGAGAAGTTAAGATTTACACTTTTTAGCTGCTTTTTTCTCTGAAGGTTAAAAATATCAGAGTACTTATTTTATTTTTCTTTAAATGTCTAACTTATATTTCAGTTTGGCTCACCCCAAAAACCAATAATATCTGTTTTCTATCCAGTTATAAATCTTATAAATGATCAAATCTTCCAAATAACTTTGAAATGTACAGATTATATTTTTATGTAAAACTTTTTTCTGCTTGTCTTCGACTCGTTTGACTTTATGTAGAAAACGTAAACATGTTTTAAGATGACTCGTTGTCACACTGCAGAGAAACTGAACTCTACTTCATTGACTAATCGCTGTCGTGTAATTATTCTTGTATTAAAATCTTTGGGTTTGAACTGACTTCGAGTTGTTCATGAATGTCTGAGCCACATCTCATCGCAGCTTTGCATGATTCAGAGTTCAGACTAACTTTTGGAAGCCAGCAGAGGGGCCTCAGAGAAATAAGGCCGCTGCTATAAAACTCCATGATGACCTGACACAACCAGAAACATTCAAAATAGTTCTTGATGCTTTACAATTTTAAGTATTCGTCTTCGACACGAGGGAATGTTTGATAAAAAAAAGTATTAAAATGTCAGTGTAACTTTGATCACAGCGCCCCCTGCCTTGTGTTTCAGGTATGCATCGATGCCGATGTACCGGGTGCCCCTGGTGGCCCCATGGCAGTGTAACCTGGGGACGGCCCTGCTCTGGCCTCTTCAGCTTTACTGGTTCACGCTGATCTGCAGAGGAGCTCTGCGCCTGTTCACCGAACGCTCAAATTCACCACCTGCGATTCTTAAAGCCGACGGCAATGTGGGCCCAGCTAACAGCTGCACAACCAATCAGACAGCTGGTGGAGGAAGAGGAGAGTAATGTAATCCGATCAGTGACGTCTGCCTTCAGAGCCAATCAGATTACCAGGGGGGCGGTGACTGTTACAAACAGATGAGTGTTTCTTCTCGTTTATGGTAAAAGTTCCAAGGAGTGAACGTAGTGACAGAAAAGCTTACAGACGCAGATCCATTATTAAATGGAAAAAGGAGGAAATGAACATTAGAAGTGTCAACAAGTTTAATCAGAAGGGAGACGACGGCTGTTTGTAGTAAAACCACACAAGAAGAATCAGGATTTACCGATCACACTGACGTTTACGAGATCATACGAGGAGCAAACCTGTACCCGACCTGTAAGGACAAAAGATCAAACTATATATAAAAAGGTAGAAATGGTTTGTGTGAAGATGATGATAATCGGTTTAAAGGGAACAGAGAAATCATCCTCTAGGATTAGCTTCATTTTAAGGAGTCCCACAGGGATCAGCATCAGGCCCCCTGTTATTCACTCTGCACATGAACATTGATCATGTCAGGATCCAATCTGCTTCACCAGATTTTCTAACCACTGATTAAGAATATATTAAGGAATCAAAGTATTACATATTTATCAAACAGGTTATTGATCATTATTTTGGGGGACTATTAAATAGCATATTTGTAGGTGCAGAGGAGTTAGACATTCAGCCTGTGGTCACACTGTGAGCTACACTGGCCCTCCGTATATTCGTTAAGTCAAGTTCATTGAAGTTTGTAGTGGTTCTATAATAGGTGCCTTAGTTTTTCCACTGTTTCCAACAGTAAATATTGTCCAGCTTCATTCTGCAAAGTCAGTTTTGAAGCTGATGATAGCTCTTCCTTTCCCCCCACGAGCACCACAGAGCCTGCGTCGATATCCAACATCAAAGCTATTCAAGTGTTTACAGTCGCCCTCACCTCTGTGTCACTTTTAGCTGAAGAAAGGACTTCCTGCTCCTGCGTACAACATCATCTGCACTGTTTATGCTGACAATACCATCTTGAGGATTCACGACTTCATTAGCATTTTGACCAGTGTGTGTTTAACAGTGCCGAGGCCTTTTAATAAACAACAACAACCACAGGCCTGCATGTTTGTTTGTTTTCTGATCCACTCACGTGACTCAGTTTCACGTCGGCTCGTTTGAATCTTGTGTCTGATTTTTTTGCAGCATATAGTTTGTTCTCATGTCTTTCTACAAAATACATGTTGATCAAAGATCTTCCTGAATTAATAAATTTGACTTAAAACTGAATATTTGACATGAATTTTCTGCACTGATCATCTCTTTATGAAGCACCAAGAATGACATTTACCCATGTTTCATTGTTATTTAGTTTCCAGGTATTTCTCAGGGACAACAGTTAACTCCCCCCCCCCCCCCCCCCCCCCCCCCCCCCACAAAATATGGCTTCTGATTTAATATCGTGTCAAATAAAAACTTTGTAAAGTCGCAGTTGAAGTTACCTGTACAGTTGTCAGTTTTGTGCTTCAGATCTTCAGGAAGTTTGGGAAATTATAGTTTTCTGTTTCAATTTTAAAAGTTTAATGCGTAATCATAAAGCAAAGCACATCTCAGGTTTTTTTAATCACAAATGAAAGATAAAAAATAATAATAATAATAATAATAATAATAATAATAATAATATATAAAATGAAATTGGAATTACTCGTCTTTATTTCTGAGTCAGTTTTGTTTAATACATCCTGATAAAAGTCTCGTAGTTATGTCATCATCAGCAGTTTGCGTCTCTGTGCTTATTCTGGTCTTTTCTAGCAGGCCTGGACGTCTTTGTCGTCTTTGGACAATTCACGTCTTCTCAGTTTGTCTCTTGTCTTCTTGAGTCTTGGTTGTTTGCATTTCACTAGGATGTGTTTGTGCGTCTTCAGTTGTTTTGTCTTTCTTTGCAGCTGTTTGCTGTTATTTTTCATCTTCTCATGATCATTTTTGCAGCTTCATCTCGTCTCTGATGTAAGTTTGTATCTATTTCTTGTCGTTTGTGTCTTTTATTTTTTTCAGGCCTTCAGCCTGTTTTTCACTCGTTCATTTGGAGCTTCGTTGTAGTTGTTTGGTTTGTCACTTTAATTGTTTCACATCCTCTGAAGTTTCCTTTGTGGCAGATTTTTCTCCTCGTGATCTTTTTGATTCTCTCGTCATCTTTTACTGCTTTTGTATTTGTTTTGTTGCTTCTTGGTGTTGTTACTTTAGCTTGGAGCATTCGCTTTCTGCTGCTTCTCTCAAATCCTGGCAGATGAAGTAGAAACATGTTCTTAGACAAACTAACTGTACTTCGTTTTCTTTTTAACTTAAGAGCAGCAGTCCTGTTCATGACGCCCCGTTTACTTGACGTGGACTCAAACCTGCGTGTGAAGGCTTTGCTTGACATAAGCTTCCCTGGATGCAGCCTTGGTGAGCGCTCACACACAGGAATCACTGTAACGCAGCCTCCTTCGTGTTACAAATGTAAACATTTCAGCTCGCAGCTTGAGCTTCAAACACCGTTAAAGTAAAATGACTCATTAGGCAGAGTGGATTATTATTGGATCATATTTACTGATTAATCAGTGGATTTCACTCTAATGGTCTGGGTGAGTCGTGCACCACTCGGAGAATCATTCAGCTTCATAAGAAATAAAGTGGTGTGGAGTACAAGTCACATATTTAAATGCAGAAATACCGTTGAGTAGAATCAGAGCATAACATAATACTTCAATAAAGTCTATTAAACTCGAGTAAATGTACTCAGTTACACTCCACCACTGCTCTGAGATTATCGGGACTAACGGCTTCGCTAATCTGGGGCCTCGGTTCATGCGTGATGTGGAAACTTCAGCTTTAGTCAGACTGATGTGAGGATGCAGGTTCGACCGAAGGAGCAGGAAGTGACGAAATACAACATGTCACATGACCAGACTCACGGGAGCATCAGTCGCTCCACGGTCGGAGGAGACATGAGCTCACAGGACAAAGACACATCACAGTGGGGCAGGTGGGTGCAATGACATTTACAGACAGCAGGTGGCAGCGTTCAGCAGCTTCACGTGACATCATCAGCCCCTCTGCATTTCCTGTCCGCGCAAATTTAACAGCCAGCCCCCTGGTCAGTAAATCTCAGCGCGTGAACGACCGCAGAAACCATCAGACGTCAGCACGCGGGAGGTTGTTGATGACGACAACAATCACAGCGTCAACGCACATTAAAGTGGGACACACACTGACAGACACGGCCCACTCACGCTGACCTCTGAAGCTTCAGGTAAACATACAAACAGGAGTTCGAGTTACACGCGCAGTTTCTTGAGCCTCCACATTACAGTTTTTTCTGATTGCTTAAGCACATTTTTTGTAACTATTGGCTAATTTTGCAAAACTCTTCACACA